AGCACCTCTAAGATTTTTTTCCTACGAATAAAAGCTCATTTTGATTAAAAAAAAATAAAATCGTGAGAAAATCGTATCGTGAACAAAAAATCGTGAACCGTATCGAATCGTGAGTTGAGTGTTGAGGGATCGTTACATCCCTAGTGACCAGAACAAGTTAAACAAAAGAGAGGATATGAGAGTCTGAAGTCTGAAAGAGGGCACTGAATAAAGCTTTGTATTTATACTGGTACACTGATGGTGTTATTAGATGATGTCTACAGTAGGGTATGACTATAGAGAAACTTCTATCGTTTATTTTGTTCACAAACTTTTCCGGAGTTCATATGAAACAAATATGCAATCTTGAGGTGTTAATGAGAAGTGTTTCATTCGCGTTTGCTCACAAACTGCTTTAATCTGCTCACCTTTGCCTTCTCTCTGGCCCAGACAGACACACAGACACACACACAGCAGCTCTGCACACACACCAACTCGACCTGCCTCCGTCTGTGTGTCAACTCGACATTAATATTTTATATTTTGTTAAAAGGAAAAATCAAATATGACTAAGTACCTTTTTATTTGTTGAGTATATAATTCAAGATGTAATAAGATGCCCATGTGGTTTATTCATTGAATTTACAGAAAATGTGCTATATTGTGATACATATTGTTATTGGTATATGAGAGTTTGGTCATATTACGCAGCCCTAGTCTAGAATTAAGTTAGAAGTTGTCTGTCACACTGCTGAGCTCTTTTTGTTGTTAATTCCAGGTTGAAGACATGGCAGGAGCCTCCAGTTCTGCAGAATGCTGCTCCGATGACGAGTATGTACCTGAGGCTCAACCGAGCAGCGACGAGGGTTTGACTAGCAACGACAAACACCAGCCTGTCGACGCTTCTTGCGTCCAGCAGGAGGACGAGGCTGATTACAGCTCTGATGATTTGACCTCTGATGAAGAGTCCAAACAGACTCCCTACAGAAACAGAAACTATTGTTACGTTTGCGGGAAACCTCAAACTAAACTTGCTCGTCACCTTTTCACCCATAGAACGCAAGAGGCTGAAATAGCTGAAGCGTTTAAACTCCCCATATACTCCAAGGAGCGAACTGTAATACTGGATAGGTTGCGAAACAGAGGGAATTATAAACATAACGAAGAGGTTTTGAAGACTCACAACGGAGAACTGAAAGTGAAAAGAAGAACCCCAAACGTGTTCATCAACGCTCAAACATTTGCACTCTGTCTCTACTGTAAAGTCATGTACTGTCGGAAGGACATGTGGCGACACATGCAAAAGTGTTCCTCGAAGAGGTCCTCAGAATCTCCGACACGTCGCAGGAGTAAAGTTTTAAGTTTGGTTGCTGTTGCCGAGTGCACAGACCCCGAAGAAATCTCGTCAGATGTGAGTAAGTTATTAAACAAAATGAAGAGAGACGAGGTTACGTCTGTAATTAAGAATGATTCCCATTTACTGCAGCTGGCCCAGTGTTTGTGCCGCTTGAATAAAAGTAAAAAAAAGAGTAAAGCCAACATATCGATGAGGGTGAGGATAATGGGAAGACTCCTGTTAGCGCTGAGGAAAAAGTCCATAGGTACCTTTGAAGAGGCTGTCAAACCCGAGAACTTCAGCAAAGTCAGTGAAACCGTCAGAGAGCTCACTGGTTTCAATGAAGAGAAAAAGACCGCTTGCAAACAGAGTCTCTTGACCAGATTCACAAATTCCCTCAAGAAAATCGGTGAGATTAACTATGCCAGGGCTTTGAAAGAGGAGGCCGACGAACAGACGATAAACGTCGCAGAGACCTTTGTGAAGCTGTGCGACAAGGAATGGAGCTACGCCCACCCGTCAAGGGCGTGGTTGTCGATCCCAAACGCGTCGACTGTACCGTTCACACGTGACGTGCAGCTTTTCTGTCAGTGCATGGAGAAGACGGCTGAGTCTGCCATTGAAAGTCTGACAATGTATGAAAGCTCTCCGGTTTACACTGCACTCCTCAGGGTGACAGTTGCTCAATTGGCTGTCTTAAACAAAAGCATGCTACAAGTTTCAGGAGTAACGCTCAAGTCGTTCGCAGAAAGGGATGAGAGTGAGCTTCAAGGAGACACAGCTGTTTGTCAGTCGCAGTTTGAGCAAATTCTGTCAAAGCGCTCGATGAGGATCAATCTCGTGACCACCAAGGGCAAAAAGGTTGCTGTTACGTTGACCCCTGAGCTGCTCACTGCATTACAACTGCTCGTGAGCAAGAGAGAATCATGTGGCGTACATAAAGATAATCCCTTTTTATTCGCAAGACCTGGTGCTAAATGTTCAAGTTTCTACTACGGACACCAGTGCGTCAGTGCTTTTGTAACTCGGTGTGGTGCAGAGAACAAAGCAAACTTCAGGTCTCTGTTTTTTCACAAGTACATTGAAAGAGTTTTCCAGATTCTCAACCTCGCGAACGACGAGCTCGATCAACTAGCCAAACTGCTGGGCTGTGACATTCGGACCGACAGAGAGTACTATCAGACGCCGGAGGCTGCTGCCGACATTGCAAAAATCTCACAGCTGCTGTCAGCGATGGAGAAGGGATGCCTGGAAAGATTCGAAGGGAAATCTCTTGAGGAAATTGAGGTTCCAGGTATGTGTCCAGATCAGTACTTATAGGTGATCTGTGGAGTTTTCTTTTTTACTTTTTTAATGAGTGTTCACAAAATGCATCTCTGTTTATGCTTGAGGTCTAACAAACACATTTATTTTGATTACACCCATGTTTACTTGCTAGAACTCTTTCTTCTCTGCCTCTTGCTGGCAGATTTCAGTTTGTTTCATGAAATGAATGCCATTGTAATATCCACATTATTTTATAAACATCTTCATATTAATGTAAACCACGTCACCCAGCCCTATTGGTAACTCTAATGTCTACTTACCTTACTTCCCTCTGTAGATGAAATGGAGCCAGAAGTTGTGGAGGACAGCCCCGAAAACAGTGGCGCTGAGGAGGACATTGAAGAATCAGAAAGTTCTCTTCAGCTGAGCGGTAAGAGACACAAACTCTTCTACTACCCATTAAACTGTAGACATTTTTAGTGGCATTGAAGCTGGTAATATAAAGGATCACCCTCCAGTAAATCTAAGGTAAGACAGAAAAGTTATTGATTGTTGTCACCAAAATGCTCCACAAACGACGGTTTTAAAACTTTAACTTTTTTACTGTCTCTAATTCAGGCTTTATTAAATGTCTGACTTTGTTACTTGTACCAAAGGATATTTTTATTTCAGGTTTAAAAAGAAAAAGAGAAAGTTTAAAGTTTTTGATAAAAATTGTATTTTTTAATCAAATATTTGTGTTTTATTTAACCCATAAACATCAGCAGAAACCGTAGTATGGGACAATAAAAATAAATAGAAAACAGTTATGAATGACCAGCTGCAGCTAATATTTAGAGTGGTTGTATGTGTATTATATTATCTAAACAAGGTATTCTGATGCTTATTTTAATTTGTTGAATCCAAAAAACGTGTTTTTTATTACAGCCACAGATTAAGTGTAAACGTTATTAATGAGGAAATGTTTGGCGTCTCCAACTGGATAGAAATTCACTGATACAAACAGTGAACAAGTGTATAATAATAATCTTATCACATACCTGTACCTCTCTCTCCTTTAGGCTCCTCTTCGGCAACTAAAAAACGAAAAGAACCCAGCAGAGTTTCCAGAGTTTGTCCCACGAAGAAACGCAGCCGAGGCCAAAGCAAGAAGCTGGAGTGTGAAGATGAGGCACCGGAGCAGAATGATGAGGCACCGGAGCAGAATGATGAGGTGAACGTAGAGAAGGATGACGAGTCAGAGGAAATACCTCCGAGCTATGATGTCAAAACACCCGAGAATACAGTGTCTCATAGCAACGAGGACGCAACAAAGATTTGTTTCAGTGACAACGATGAGGACATGAATGTTGACTTTGACATGGACGTGGACACCGATGACGACAGTGTCAGGAATGATGGATATGGTGACACAATGCCTTTGATACCCGATGTACTAGATGTACCAGATGTACCAGATGTAGCAGATGTGACAAAGCAGGATAATGACAGCAGTGATACTGAAAAGGCCGACGGCTCAACTACCAAGCACACTACTGCTGCGGACCTCGAGGAGACCATGGAGACGGACGCAGTGAACCACGTGGGGGAAAAGCATCGAAAGAAAAAAGGGGAACGAAAGAACTGCATGGATGTAGATAGCAGAAGTTCCTCTGCCATATTAAATACAGGTAAAAATCAATCTGGAAAAGTCAGGCTATCACCATGCATTCTGTATAATGGCCAGCAGGGGGGAGCCGACACCATGCAGTCTTATGGAGAAATGACTAAACGTCTCACTTGATTTATTAGCTCAGTAAACAGTTTCCTAATGAGTTTATGGTCTAAATCACTAGTTTCAAGTCTTCTTCCATAGAGCATGATGTTCATTTTGTAAATTATGGTCCAATTTAGAGTAAAATAGTTCATATTTGGGTTACCCCAAAGTCATACGTAGTCTCTCCCTTAATTATGCATGAATTTAAGCCTTATTATAATTAAACAGGTAAGTTATATAATAATTCACCCCCAGTTCAGTTGTTATGAAAGGGGAATGTAGCTATAGAGACCAAAACCATTTCTGTACCAGCCTGTAAACATTTTTTCTGCTGTAACCAGCCTCAAGTGGTCGTTCAAGGAACTGTAGTTTTTGTTTGGTTGCTACTTGGTTTTACAGCCATATTTTATTTCATTATAGAAAAGAATAAGAAATTATCAGCTGCTGTAACTGGAATGAGAGAAGTGAAGATATTAGTATCAAAACTGGACATTGTGAGTATATTCTTTCTTGCAATTTGTCTCTAATATTATAATAAATATGTATG